AAAGTCTAAGATAGTTACTAATTTGTTAGCCACGACATGATCTAATTTACGAATTTCCAATTATATTTAACCTACTATTTAGTACGAATCCACTAAGTTAGCAATTAGAAGGAACATTGACCACAGTATAATAAGTCCAGTTTCCCTAACATCGAACATAATCCTACAGACTAACCACTCGAATTTTCATTATTGGCTAGAAGTATCACACCTGCGAATAAAATTATATTGCATCGTGTGACAAAGAAAATGATAAAAGAATAAAAGAACAAAGCACTGACGTTAACATAGGATAGGTATTAATTATTTAACATAAGACAAATATACTGCTATATCAGAATATGCCATTGAAATTCAAAGTATGGACTTGAAGAGCATCAAAGATAGAAGCAATACAGCTGAAACGTAACCATGTGAAATAACAGTACTCCATGGAGAGTTAGATTGTACTTGGAAGCACCGGTTGTCTTCGATTCAAGTTCCTGACGCTACCTCAGCGCGTTGAAGATGGCTACCGTGGGGATTTTAGTGAGCAAAAATCTCACATAACTTTGGTTTCTTCTCCAGGAAGTCAAAGTATCTCTGAAGATTTCCTCCACGTAAGAAAAATAGAAAAATATTAAAAATAAACGGGTCTTATTGTACATGGATAGTACCTAAATTTGATATAGCTTCATATTCATTATTAGTAATAGTAGTAGGTTTCTTGAGATTAGATTCGTAGCGTTGGATTACACGTGGTATTTCGGATAATCCAAATTAATTAGTACGCTGTGTGAGCGTAGAAGCGACTTGAAACTGAAATGTCAAAGACCTCTGTGTAATTATAGAGGTAACTGGAATGAGTGAATGAAGAGGGAAGGGAAAACGAGAGTGTTTTGGGATGAAAAGCAAAAAGGGAAAGCGTATGTAAGTCGAAGTGTAAACTGCTTTGGGAATTTCTGACAATATTTGCCCTCTCGTAATTAATATTTAACAGATATTTCCCGCCACTCGAGTACTACCTCTTATGTAAATTTCTAGTTTGGTTGCTGAGGGCCATGTCGCTTTCGAGTATAGCAAAAAGATAATCCTGAACCAAAAAATTTTCATGTCAAAGTGGAAGGAGTGGAAATAAGAGTAAGAACATTTTTTTGATTTATAAATAATACAATATTTCCATTATTATTTAAATACTATATTATTAAAACATTAATAAAAGTTAATAAATAGTAATAAATATAATAAAAATATAATATGTAAGTGACTGCATACTATGCAATGAATAATTTCTAACATTACTTAATAATCAGAAATAAGTGCACTAGAAAACGTTATTTATTTCCATATATAAAATTAAGAACTATAATTGATTATGACTATTGGATACTGTTGTAACTATAGCATTTCACTTAATTATATTGTACGTAATTACTGTTTATTAAAAGTCACTAAACCTTGTTTATTAAAATAATTATTAAAATAATAATTATTATATTTTGCATATTAAAGGCAATTACATTTTGTTTGTAAAAATTTTGTTTGTAAATATTTTGTAATATTCTAATATAAAAATCAAATCTAAGTTGATATATAACATTGATTAGTATAGTCACAGAAATAATAATAATAAATTATGATAAATGATAATAAAATAATGAAAAATCTGAGAGTAGGATAATTAAACAAATCGATATCAACAGCCAACTATTAACAACGATAATTGAATTCTATTATCTTTATAATTCTATTAAGCTTCATTTTTTTTTTCATTATAATATTCGAGGTAAATAAAAATTAATTCCAGAAATTCCACGTAAAACGTAAACGAATTGTGAGTATAGCTATGTTCATGTGCAATATGCCGCGGCATCTGCAAAAGAAAATCAGATCATACCAGGCCAGGCGCTATATGCTGCCAAAACTCGTTTACGTAGTTAATATGCAAACCAAGCTTTCGCTTTAAAGGGAAGAAACCTAATGTCATAATCAGCAATAGTCACTGTCTCGTTCACTTCGTTCATTAACATACTGATCACAAAAACGTTCGAAACCCTAATGGATTTACAAGTTCCATAGTTCCGTTATTATACCATTATTGACCTACACATGCAATAGACAAGCAGCATGTATGAACTAAGTGGACATTAACGTAATTATAATCTTAAACGCTAAATAGCTATCATGAGAATATTTTGCATTATTTTTAGGTCTCCTATCTGTAATTATACTCTTTCGCTAATCGCAAGTTAAGAAAATAATATTTGAGACACTTCTCGCGACCATTTTATTTTTTGAAAAGAATGTAAAACTCGCTAAAAAGTTATTAAATTTGAGAATATAAAAAATTAGTGTATTTTGACATTCGTGTATTTATTTTCCTCTTGGTAATATATTTTGAAGTTGAATATTGTATGTTACTAATTTGAATTTGTTTAATTTATGAAGTGTAAGTGCATATACTAATAAAAGTAGAGGAACAAAATAATAATTTGTAAATTTTTGTGTATTCTTTATCATTTATGATACATAGGTTAAAATCAAAAATGAAATTAAGTGAATAACATCTTATGCATCAATAAACAATAAGTTTGTTTCCAGTACCTTGTACAAAACGTATTTTTAATTTAAATCTATGTATATAACTATGGAGATAAGAAGTAAACAAAAATTAACAAATGATTGTTTTGTTCCTTAACTTCTTTTTGTAGATGGAAATAAATTAGTCTTTTTCAAATTATAAATATTTTCCGAAACGAATATAGTAACAATAAAAAAAATAGAAGGAACTATTTCATTAAATTTCGCATCCTTCTTATAACATTTTCATAAATAGTAATAAAAAAGATACGAGTATTTATTTGAAGATAATGAGACCATAGAAATCATGATGAAGAATTTTTTAATAAAACACAGAAATTTTAAAATGTAATAGAGGAAACATTTCGTAAAAGAAGGTAGAAAATGGAAGTTATGAATCGCAGCTGTAGCTTGAAAAATATACAAATTTAACTAACAACCTAATAATGAATTATTAAAAAATATATATACTATAATATACTGTATATTTATTATAATATATACGATATAAATTATAATATAAATCGCATAGAAGTTATTTTGAAGAAATGTATTATATTTTATTTGGGAAAAGTTAAAAAATATATATAATTTAACGAGCTAACAGTGAATTATGGAGAAAGACGTACATAAAATTAAATAGAAATTATTTTGACTAAATGTATTTCATTTGGAAAAAGTTAAATTAAATGTACTTTAGTTTTATTCGAAAAACCTAATAGATATATATATCGTCGTTTATTTTAAGGAACGATTGTAAAACGAACTTTACGAATGGTAATTCAAGGATTAACAAGGATTTTAGCTGTGCATACGTTAAATAGACCCGTAAACCTTTAAAGCCATTAATTTTGATTGCAGTTTTATTACTCGAACCGAATTTTCTAATTGGCAAAGCCTTCTCGATATTATGTACTTTATTTACCCAATTTTATTTGAAACTGAATTTGTCTGTTTGTTATTGTTCCTTAAATTTAAGAAACTTCAGTAAAGTCAACAAATAATGCATTGATCTTGATTTATATCTAAAGATAATAAGATTTTCGAAATATATTGTATTTGTAAGTACATGCTTCAATTATGTTTGCAGATATTATTTATAAATATCAGTTCAAATAAAACTAATTATGTTGTTATTAATCATTAATTTATTTGCATATCTGACTATTGCTTGTTGAAAGCAATCGAATTCATTTTGCACGAGTGCAACGATCGGATGAACGACAGATGGCATTAGTGTTGATCTAGTTGGAGGGATTCTATAACCTCGTAAACAGAATAATTTGAGAGTACGATGGCAGAGTGACGATAGCTAATCAAATTTATGTACTAATTTTCTACCGAAAAAAGAATATTTTCTTTTTCGTTCAGGTATTCCTATTATACCTGTCTTAAATAAGAAATTCCAGTTAGTTAAACATAACCTCAATTCACGTAAGACAAGCATTGTTTTTCTATGATTAATATTCTTTAAATTGAATGTAGACTGAATTTTTCATGTAATATTGCATTTATGTAAGAAAATACTACAATAATTTTGAGAAAGTAATAACAAAATTACTTTTAATTCCTTAATTTCTATCATTAAAAAATAAATGCAATATCATTCAGAATTTTTAATACACGACATTATTTTAATGCGAGACCCTTCGAATGGTAATGTTAAATAAAATTAAATAATCATTTACATTATATTTTAAACCTGTAATCCTAATAAATAAATGCAATAATAAATACATCTATTTTCATTAACCCTTTACACTCGAGAGGCGCCCTTCAGTCGCTATTTAATAAAATTTCGAAGCTCGATATTAATTAATATATCAAATTTAAGATTATGTAACAGTGTGCGAGGTATCGAAATTAAATAATTCTACCTGTTAGTTATTATACGATGTCTTACTTATTACTAGAAAAATATCATCAGCCTTATAGCAGAAAATTTTTCAACTTGTACACCTGTAAAGGGTTAGTCTTTAATAAGGCTATGTGCATGATATCATTTTAACGCAATAAAATTTCAAAATAGTCACTAAAGATAAGAACTGAAACAGTCACCTGCATTTAATTCGCCAATTTAAATTTCTATGTAATAAATCCAATAACAAACGCGTCAATCTCCATTAACCCTTAATCTGTTTCACGTGTTGAAATTAGGTTTCAATTTCTAACGAAACGATCCTTAGAATCACCCATACAATGTGCATCAGATCGAGCATGGATATGCAAATTGAAGCACGTTCGTTTAATTAAACGCGGTGGCACGATGAATGAGGAAAAAATCGATCGCAGCGCCGCGACCGTAAAGTTTAAAAGGTTCAGCAAATCTTCCGGGATCTCCCGATTCAAAATGGTTAGACGTACCGTAGCTCACGCGTGACTTTCGAATTAGCAGCAACGAGGGTCAGCGTCTCTTGGGTTTTGCGAGATTTTCAACTCACCGTCCGGATAGGTCGAATTGATTTCACCGGTGACGTCCAATTCGGATGGCATCGATCCAACGAGGATCATGTCGTCCGGAGCTTCCTCCAGCTCCAGTTCGATCTTTGTCACGAGCCCTACACAGATGAGTATAAAAAGAAAACTGATAATTACTGTTAAGTGTCTAACTTAAATAAAGGAATAGTAAAATTTAAAGTAAATAAATTTAGTAATGTTGTTACTAATTTTTACTAAATTTATATAGTAATGTTATTAACGTCTATTAATGTAGTAACTTTGTTAAGTAAATTTAAAAAGATCTTAATTTAATTTCCGACTGGTAAACCACCACCTATATTAGCAGCTGTTAATGCACTTACCACTGCGATTGACGTTCTGATGTTTGTCCGATGATACTGTGCCATGGTATCTTCTAGATCGATTTCTTCCCTCCACACTGACAGTCAAAAAGCTTCTACGCTGCTCTGGAATCACAAAAATATAATATCCTTAAAAAATATGTTCGCTTTTATATTGTCACAGGAAATTGAATTTTATACAATATTCTATAAATCAAATAACACACACACAAAATATATATTCAATACAATTTTTAATACAGTGACAATGTTTACATTAAAAAGAAATAAAATGCATAACATTATTCTCCTTCTTAAATTATAAAAAAATTGAAATATTCTTTTGCAATTAAGTTTTTCATGTGAAATATAAAAATATGCTTGCAGTTAGGGATTACTAAAAAGATTAAAGAAATTATTTCCTCTTATTTCTCAAAAGAACTACATTAGTTACATATCAATATCAATATTTCTATATTCAATATCAATTACTTTATTATAAATATAAATATGAATTATTATATTTTATAAATATTAATTATTTATAAAATATTTCTAATACATTAAATTTTTGCAATGAAAAAATATCGTGGAATAATTAACATATTGTTTAATAGCAAGGGAAAATCCACGAATTATAATTTCATAATTTATTAAATTTTCAAACAAATTATTTTACAACTATATTAAAATCAGAATTTATGATCCTATCGAACTACACCATCTCTAAAATGTTTTCAAAACATTCATTACACCTAAAATAGGATTAAATATCCGTTAAAAGATACAACGTAACACATTATTAAATAATAAAATTTATTAAATAAATAAATTTCACTATTAATAATATATACAATAATTATAATAAATTTCACTAAACAGTTTTACTAAGAAATGCTTCCAATTTACAGTTTATAATCTATCCCGAATTCTGAGGCTTTATTAAAAGTGAACCAATCCCTTTAGAAACTTTTGATAAAATATGTGTAATTTATTTAAATTTATTTATTTATTACATTTGTCTATTAAATTTATTAATTTGTTATAAATGTTATTCAAAAGTTGCCTCGTTTGTGTTTAAGTCTGCCACTTAATCAGTAGCGACATCTGGCGAGTTAAATGATAAACCAATTAGCGAAAATTGGCACGCGACCATATCTCGTTTTTCTTGTTTCGACTGTATCGAACACGTACGTTGGATTCATGTAATTTATCGTGTACAATGCAATCTTGTTAATGTACAAAGTTTTTTTTGTATTAAAAAAATTCAACGCGTTAAAGCTCATATTATAATTGTAGCGATATACTTCAAATATTCAAACAATTGTTCGTTATTTGTATATAATATTATGCTTCAGGATTTCTTTTTAAATCCGTTAATATGATATTGTATACGTCATATCTTGCTCACTGGAATTTACTCATTTTCATAAAAGTGCGTAATCGAGATATCAAATGTGAGCTTCAGTTCTTTTGATGTTGAATTTTATTATTGTACGCATGATTACGAAAGTTTCATTCGACACAAATTTTCGAGGAAAGTTACCTTTGTCGATTAAAGCATGAAAGTTTCATTTGGCGAAATTATACAGGATGTTCATCATAAAAATTTTTACGATTTTTCAGCTATTTATGCTAATCTGACAAAGAATATTTTGAATAAAAGTTATTCAATATTTCGAATGAGAATAAATTTTGGTTATCAAAATTTTTAACAAACTTTTTGTTCGATGAAAAATTTAGTGTTATTGTGTCTAAAATTATTACATTTATCTAATTTATTAAGAATTATTTATTTAATATAATCTTTAATATAATCTTAACGTAATCGTTCAACGTAGTTTTCAACAAAACTTAATTTAATAATTTTAATAATTTTTAATAATTATTTTATTATTAATAATTGTAATTATTAACAGTTTTTAAATAATTATATATTTTTGATGTCGTAGCACTATCAGTAATCATAAAACAAGTGCAGTGACCTACTACATGTTGACCTTTAAATAACCTTGAGCTTAGAAACCTATAATAATTTATTAAGGAATTAAGTTTCTTTCTTCACACATAATTGAAACATCAAAATAAGGAAGATACATATTAAATAATACAAAATAAAAAGTAGAGTAATTCATAATTATGCATATAATGTTATAAATCTATTTTCAAATTACCACACAAATATGAAATAAAAAATATTCTGTAATAAAGAGTATTTATTTTACCTCTTACTTCTGTATATACCATTACACAAAGCTACTATATTTCACTGCTTACCATTTCACTATTTTGCCATCTTCAGACGATACAATATTATTGAAATAAAATAAACAATTTTTATTTCACAGTTAAAACTTTATAAATAATAACCAAACGTGAGAACTCTAGTTGGCTGAAAATAAGATAACTAGGAAGATTTCACAAGAAACCATCTGCAGTTTGCTGACGTAAAGGCATAGATTTGTCACTATCAGACACACATTGGCGCATAAGTAGACCGTAATAAAAATACAGTGTCGAAGGAAAACGAAATTTCGTCGCCAGCAAAAAGCGTCCTTCGCTGACATTTCGTGGTTTTCATCAATTATTCAACAACCACAGTTGGTTGCAATTGATATAAATATGTATACACGCATACGTCCACATGACACCAGATGCACTTCAGTTTTACATAAAATAATTCGATGAATTATTTGAATATTGCATACGATTTTCAATAAAATCCTGAACACGTGATACGATCTATTCTTAATTATTACTTTAACAATTAACAAGTATTGGGTTAAAAGTGTTAAAAAGTAAATTCGCGATGATTTTTAAGTTGTCAATCGTTAACGACAATTGGCAGGATAGTTGTTAAAAACTAATCGTTAATCCAGCAATAATAATGATTAAGTTGACAAACATAAAGGAATCGTAGTAAAATAAAATTATGTTTCATGTAAAAAATATCGCATTGCTGCGAAAAAAATACCTCTCCAGGATTATGTCAGTGGTCATGAAAATATTCGTACCATTTTATACTTATTAATTACGAATAATAGCTACTCTTACGATATAAATTTCCAAGTTCTTATTAATAAGAATATGTATTCTATTTTATATTAATACTTACATCCACGAGAAATATTTCCATTCATAATTAACATTTATAAAATAATAATAATAATGAGATAATAATAAATATTACAGGAATGCACAGATTGCAATTTATTGAAATTAGGATGAATAAATTATAACCTTTTAGTAGCATACTTTACATATAAAATTAAATAATTAAATAGTAAATAAGAATAGGCAAAATAATAATAAAGTAATAATAAATAAGAATAAATAAGATAATAATAGGATAATAAGAAATACTGACAAACAAAAAATAAAAATTAATAAAAATTATAAAAATTATATAATATAATTTCAATATAAAATTATAAAATATTAATGAAATATTAAATTTCGTAAAAAGATTTCATATTGTAAAATGATAAAAATTGTTTGAAAAATATGCAAGGTACTTATGTGAATATTTCCATGTAAATGAGTTTTAGCCAAAATCTAGTAACAATAATTTTTAGTGACTTGTAGACAAAAGTTTTCACTATACTTATCTATACTTTTGCAAGATATATATTACATCACGTTGATAATTTTTTCAAATATTTATTATCCTTCATTTCAATATTTCTTTCGATATTATAACTTTTGTTATAGAAATGATGTTAAGAGAAACATATCGAAGATCTAATTAGTCTTTTGTTCATCGAATAAATATATTATACTCATGAACCCAGTAGAAGTGATATTTTGTGTGAAACTATATTTGATTAATTACTGTCTTTACGCACAGGCAATTTCGCGTTTATTTTGGATGCGACCAAATAAAACAGGTCATCGCTGCTATAGTACAAATACCAGTTTCAAGTTTCTGACAATTAAATTTCGAATTAACGTAAATAATAATAATCAAGTTGAACAAGACGTATAAAATAAATTTTTCTCGGTAATATAATTACATTATCTTACATATGCCATAACATAAAATAAAATAATAATCAAAATCATCGTTTTGTATCTTCTATTGAATTTGAATAAAATTTAAATATTTAATTTAAAGAGAATATAAAAATACGTATAATAATTAATTTTATTAACAAATTTAATTTATACCATTGTATTTCAATTATTACGAAGTCCATAAGTGTTATTAATATTTATTGATTGATAAAATTATTTTTGTCTACCTCCTCATTATTATTCATCGCAAAAAATGTCATGTCTTTAATTTATAGATATATATATACGAAATAATAAATTATTAATTAATAAATTAACATTAGAAAATTAAGCGATTGAAGATTATTATTCTACGTAATTAATAAATTAATACACGTATTAGTAATTATCGTTTAAACTAGATTTTATTATTCGTCATAAATTACTGGTGCAATAAAACTTCGCCTTTCAAAAAAATTTCAAAGTTCAATAGGTGAAAATAAACGTCGATTGAATTTAAATTTCTATATACGATAAATGAGTAAACAAGAGCACAGATTAATTTCGAACTTAATAAAAGACTAAACTTTTTCCAATATTTTCATTCATATTTAGGGAACCGAAGTTGAAAATGCATAAAACAATATTTCTTCCTTTTCCGTTTCAATAAAACTAATGAACTTAAATATGACTGAAAATATAATTCTTATATTATGATTATTAACCTTTGCATTTCCT